GAGAGAGAGAGAGAGAAAGAGAGAGAGAGAGAGAGAGAAAGAAAGAAAGAGAGAGAGAGGGGGGGGAGAAAGAGGAAGAGAAAGAGACAGAGAAAGAAAGAAGAGATACGCCTATGTACAAAACATAAGTACAAAAAGCCCCTGGTAAACAAACAACAAAACGAGGATTGGGTACAACAAGGACAGCAGATACCGGACTCGTGACCAGCTCTCAGTGAGTGACCGCTCAGCCTGACTCACCAACACTTCCTCTCAGTTCTCTCGGAGCTCATTCCAAACTTCTCCTCGAGAACATGCGTAAGACAGACGAGAAAACTCTGCTACTCTGGTTTTAAATTCTAGAGGCCCCACAAAAATCTGTTTCTGGATTCCTTCTCAAGTTGCTTCTTCATCAAGGTAGGCTTTTCATTCATCAAAATTCCTTCTGTGATTCTATGTGTACACTTTCAGATTTGAAAATGAATTATTACCACCATTAGCTGGTGGCGTCGGTGGCCTAGTGATTATACGGGGTGCCCACTACGGACGGGATCGGCCGATCGAGCCATTCGCCCGACTCGATCGCCTAAAAAACAAACGTGTTTGTTTTCAGTTTCAGGCGATCGAGTCGGGCGAACGGCCCGATCCAGCCGTAGTGGGCACCCCGTATTAGGCTACCGGACTAGTAATCGTGAGATTGCGGGTTCGGGGTTCGAGCCTCGGCTCGGATCTCGGATCGGACGTTGTGTCCTTGGGAAAGGCACTTTACACGAATTTCCCATTTGGCTTGATCCTTTCGGAGATGGACGTTAAACTCGGAGGCCCCGCCTCTTAAATAACCTTATAGTGTTGATAGGGGCGTTAAACCTGTACCATTTAACCATTTTCACCATGAGCTGTTGGAAGTTCTGTAGCGGGTAATGAGAATATACTCCTCATTTGGCGGTTTTGGGCTAGAACTAGATCTAGGAGTCATTTTTTCGATGGTGATTTTTAGACATATATTTTTACGACGCTGCGTTTTGGGAGAATTATTAAATTCAGAAACGTTCTTGTTGTGGGAAAAAAAGACGGGGGTGG